CAGTCACTAACATTACTTATTTTATATTTTAATATGCGCATAATTTTTTAGACGAAAAATGTGGATTCAATTATTGCAAGTTGAAGATCCCATTCAAACATTATATGCGCGCTCAAATCATTTTTCTGAGAGTATGTTCTCCAACAAAAATTTAAAAATGGTTGCAATTCCCGACAAAAATTTACCTAATCTTAAAAAAAAAATGGAAAATATTCAAAATTCTAAAAATTGTCAAATTCCTGAAAAGATCGAAATCCTGAAACAGTAGTATCAACTCAAGATTCGTTCAATAAAACAAATTTGGCAACCAATGAAATTTCGAATATTAATCTATATGATCAAAACTCCAGTCCACCCAAACGTATTTGTTTACAAAATGTAAGTTTTAGTGGTAATAATAATCAAAATAAATGTTATTGCAATTATGATTACACTACATATATAAAAATGTTAGAAAATAAAATAAAAAAAATTGGAATTCGATAATAGTAATTTGAAATATGAAAACACTTTGTTAAAAACGGAAAATGAAAATATTAAAGAAAAAGTGCAATGTACCTGTACTGAGAAATATTCAAATACTTTGTTAAGAAACAAAGATTTGGTTTCAAAAAATAAACACTTAGAAGTAGAAAAGAATCAGCTTATTGAACAAATAAAAGTTAGAAACCAAAATGTTTTTGAGAAACAAATAGAAAATTTAAACCCGAGTTTAAAAAATATTATAAGAAATGCCATAGCAAATGCTGACAGATGTTCAAACGGTAAACGTTTTAGTACCGAAATAAAGACTATTGCCTTGGGTATTTATTTTTTATCACCAATGTGTTATCGGTACCTTAAGATCGACCTGGACTTACCTGAACAAAGGACTTTGACGGAATTTGTATCAGACTGGCCAAAAACACCCGGACTAAAGAAATGCCATTTAAATTTATTAGCTCTTAGAGCGAAAAACTTGACCGATGACCAAAAATTTGTTTCAATTTCATGTGACGAAATGTCCCTAAAAATTAACATGTTTTATGACAGAAAGACAGACAAAATTATCGGACTGGAAGATTTTGGTAATGGTAATCGCACAGCGAATGTTGCAACACACGTAATGGTGTTTATGGCTCAGGGAATAGGCGGACAGGCATGGAAACAACCCAGAAAATATATGCGATGCATGATACACCGCACCTAATAAAAAGTACGAGAAATGGTTTAATGAACCCCAAAAATAATATGTATTATCAAAATTACAAGGTAAATTGGAGTGATATTAAATATTTTTATGATATTGACTCCAATTTACCTATTAGATGTGCTCCGAAATTAACGGACAAGCACATTAAACCTCACAATCTACTAAGGATGAAGGTTCGTCTTGCAACGCAAGTGTTTAGCAATACAGTAGTATCAGGTATGAATACTTTGTATTCCTCAGGTCTTATTGACCAATCGAAGGCCCCAACTATGCCTAATACATCGGAGTTCTTATCATTTTTTAATAACCTTTTTGATGTACACAATAGTTCTACAGCAAAAAATCAATTTGGTAAGGAACTATTTTGCGGTTCTGAAAATCAAATAAGTTTATTAAAAACAGCTAGTGAGCGGATACAAACAATTGAGGTAAAGGATATCCACGGAAGTGATATTACGAAAGAATTGGCTTTTGAATAATGAAAGCCTTATTCAATTATTTGAATATTTAAATAAAAACGGTTTTAATAATTTAATGACAAGACGGTTGTGTCAAGACATTTTAGAGTATTTCTTTGGTCAAATCCGTAGAGGTTCCGGAAATGCGGAAAGTGTAACACCAACTATGTTCTGCTGTCTTTTCCAAAAGCGGTGGGGCATAAATTATGTAAATGTTGTTACAAATGGAAATTGTGAAACAAATTTTGAAATAGAATCATCTGAAACCATTTCTAATACCTGTAATGTCGTCGATGATTCACTTTGTAATCTATGCAATACATGCGATAATGACGAATCTCAATTTGTCCTAAATGATAATTTTAACATAGACATGTGTAACGAAAATTTAGATGCAGCTATATTTATACGAGAGAACGCGTTTGTTTATGTGTGTGGATACCTTTTTAAAAAATTGCGGGAATTGCATCAAGGTTCACTCCCAATGTATATAAATATACCTTTACGCAAGAAAAATAATTTGACAAAAATAAATTAATTCGACCACCAGAAAATTTTGTACAATATGTAGACAAACTTAATAGCGAGTTTTTTAAATACTTTAATTCAAACTGCCATGTTATTGGAATATCAAAACTAATTTATGAACAACTTAAATATATAAATGATTATAAGTGTTGTGATAAAATGGACAATGAAGAGTTTATTTATCTTTTTATTAGGACACGAATTTATTTTGCTCTTAAGTTTTTTAATAGGGATGCTGCAGTTCCAAATTTAAGAAAAAAAGTACTAAAGATTTCTCACATATAGATTCACAAGTCACAATCTAATTTAATGGTGAAATTCTGAGGTCAAATTTGGATTCATCGTATCCCAATCACTTAGAAAAATATACTTTAGTCTCTTGGTTTCAAATTTTGTCGGCCTGCGTTATTGTAAAACAAATACGATCATTACACAGGCAGACTAATTTTTAACCTAGAAACTAAAATATACTTTTCTATAGGAATCCTAATCTACATCAGAATTTTTCCATCACATCTAAGCTTCTAGATATCGTGGTCTAAAATTTGAAAAAAACACATTTTTGGGGCGTCTTGAAATTTTGTATGTCCTCTGAAAGTTAATTTTTATCAACATTAAAATAAATGTTCAAATTTCGTAATATCTTCTTCCTTTTTCGAGATATTTTTACCAACTAATTTTCACAACATTAAATTTATAAAAACAAAATTTTATACATTTTTAATTGTTTCAAAATCTCTTGTATTTCTTGAGATATCCGTTAAAGTTTTTGCTGTAAGATAAAGGCAAATTTCCACTTTTTTTGTTTTAGGCAAAGATATCTCGAAATATTAAGAAGATATATCCCAGATGTGATGAAATTTGAATCCGAAGCGCTGGTCAATCTTTTAGAAAAGTAAAATTTTATCCCAGGGTTTCGAGTTTTTTTTTTTTTTTTAATTTTGTTGGCCTGTATTATTTATGTATATATATAGCATTAATTGCAAAATGTTGAAAAGTAATTAATCATTATACAATTGAAATTGTTTCATATTATTTAATTTCAAGATATGTTTACAATTCTTTTTATAATAATACATATACATTTTTAACCCAAAAAATATAATTGTCGTAAAAGTTTCAAAATCTCCAAACACTTCGCATTTGGTTAAAGAAATATTCTTACTTGCCTTAAAGACTAACCATTTTGTTTATAACTTAATTAAACCGTTAAAAATTGATAAGGCTTTAATTACTCAAAAGCTCAGTACTTATAAAATTATTTTCTTTGTAATAATGTTTACGTAGTGTCCTTTATCTAAATATTTCGACTCTTTACTAGCATTTTAAATACTTATTTAATGTTTAGCACACAAACCTTTTCCTTACCGACTATTGTGAACATAAAACAAGGATAATAATAAGAACTGCGATTATTAGGTATACTTGTGTGTTTGGTTTGATCATTATCACCTCAATAAGAAAATATCCATACCACTACATATTTGTTTGCAATGCTAAACATAATCCCTCTAGATTGTGAGGTTTTATTTCATAATATAAAATTGATCACATTTGATAATATATATGTGGAAGTTAGTTTTTATTATTCATATTTAAAAAGTAGCGCATACATATTTTACACCTAAAATTATATTTTTGCATGTTTTTAGTTTTAATGAATATTATGGCATATTTAAACTTTAGTTTTTAGATTTTATGTATTTATTTTTATATTTTCATATAGGTTTTTTTGAAGTTTTATTTTTAATATTTTTAGATGTTAATGGCCGTATTCATAACGAAAAACGAGTTAACTAACTTGCTGCTATTTTCTGCTAACTATAAGGGAAAGATAGCAGCTCGTTATTAAACAGTTAGTTTTTTATAACGAAGAAGGCCCTAAATATTTTTTTAACTATTACTTTTAAATATGAATAGCACAAACTAACTTGGTCATATTGCAATAAATAAATTGATATAAGTGGTAATTTCTCTTGAGAAGATTATAAAAGATACATTCATAATTTGTTGAGTTCATGCTGTCTGCCTATTCCTTTCTTTAAAAACTGTTCAGTATACCAGATACTAAATTACAAAATAAATCGTATCAAATATGTTCAACCCCCTTTTTAGGGACTGACCTACTGTTCAGCAAAAATTACAGATTATTTTTACCAATAATATACGCACGGACGAACGGACAAAAAGATTGGACTACTGTATATTCAGACATTGAAACATTTAACGTTTTCGGACCTTTTTTGTACACAGTACCAAATATTTATACATAAGTATTTGTTATTGCATTTCAAACAAGATGAATTCTTTGAAACATTGCTAAAAATATTCTTTTTTAATTCTTAAGACATATTTAAACTATTTCCACTATAAATCTGTCTTTATTAAATTTTTTAATATCTAAAAATTTTTCAACTAGTACTTAATAAAACGTATTACTATTTTATCTATTGAATGTATATTACTATTTAATATCTTATTAATTGCAATGTTTTTGTATACAGTAGTTTCCGCTTAATTGTCCCCCGCTTTATTGATTTGCCCGCTTATTTGATCAAGAAAAAACGCTAACATTAAATTCCATACAATATATTCAATAAACTTTTCGTTTAATTGAGTTCGTTTATTTGCGTTACCCTCTTAATTGAATTATGTATTAAGAATTTATTTTTAAAAGCAATACAAAAAAATCCGCATAATTGTCAAACAAAAAAGTCGATTGCAAAACATAAAAGTTGACTTTTCTCTACAATATCAATATCTTAAAAAGTATGTGGCAACTCTTTTAAACATATGTTTTTATTTACATATTTTCTGCACTACAAGAAGTAATGAAAAAAAAATCAAATCTAAAAGTGATCAGAAATCTAATGTTAATAAAAATGAGTGCAGCAAGAAAACACACAAGTTTAAACATAAAACAAAAATTAAATGTAATTTCTGACTATAAAAAATATGACAAAGAAGAACTTTGTACAAAATATAAGTGCTGCAGGGCCACAATAAATAGAATTTTAAAAAATAAAACTTCACTAATAGAAAAATCAAAGACTGTCAACGGGTCCACCAAAAGGGATCGAAGTGGAGCATGTGCAAAAGTAGAAAAGGCCCTTTTATTTTGGTTCAATCAAATACGAGAATCGGGTGCCGTGATTTCACGCAATATGTTATTAGAAAAGTCAAAACAATTTGCTGTTGAGATGAATGAAGACTTTAGGCCCACACATGGTTGGCTTCACAGATGGCAAAAAAGAGTAGGCATTACTCTAAAAAAAATTCATGGTGAAGGTGCGTCTGCAGACAATGATGCTGCAAATGCTTTCTGTGAATCTGTTTTGCCAGACTTAATTTCCAAATATCAGCCATCAGAAATATTCAACGCTGATGAAAGCGGCATTTTTTATAAAGCTTTACCAAAATCAACATTGACAAAAAAAGGTGATCAAAAACGAGGATTTAAAAATTCTAAAGAACGACTGACATTGCTTTTTATTTGTAATGCAACCGGTGACTACAAAAAAGCAATTGTCATTGGAAAGTCAAAAAATCCAAGATGCTTTAGAAACAAATCATTACCTCTGAAATATTATTCTCAAAACAAAGCTTGGATGACGCAAAGTTTATGGCAAGAGATTTTGTGTTCGCTTGATGATGAAATGGGGAAACAAGGACGTAAAATAAAATTATTTGTAGACAATGCAGCTTGTCATAAGACATCAGCAGTGTTTCAAAATATTGATCTACAGTTTTTACCAGCAAACACAACATCAATAATACAACCGCTAGATCAGGGTGTTATTCACTGTTTTAAGTGTTATTACAGACAAAATTTGCTACGTAAACAAATTTCTGCAGTGGAAAACGGAAAAACGATTGCTGATTTTATGAAAAGTTTCAACATTTTTAATGCAATGCACGTTATACAAAATTCTTGGTGGCTAGTTAAACCGACGACAATAAATAACTGCTTTAAAAAGGTAATCTTACATTTATTTGTACATAGCTATAAAAACTTTATTCATACATGTGTATATTCTTAAAATTCTAGTCAAGAATTTTTCCTTCTACTGAGCCTACTGAATTGGAACATGAAGTATGTCTTGATGTGGAACAAGAATCAGCTGATTTTGAAAATTACGTCCGCTGCGATGATAACATACCATGCTATGGACAACTTACTGATCAAGAAATAATTAATGAAATTTGTCAAGAATTAACATCAGACAATTCTTCTGATGAAGAAAATGAAGATGTTGTTAACAATCCTCCTTCAAGTAAAGAAGTTCTGTGTTCTATTAATATCCTTCGGGATTTTTTTTTTGCCAAAGAATCTTTATTCACAAGAACTGGATAATATGGAAAACTATATAATCGAAAACTGTTACAAACAACAAATTCAAACCTTAATAACTGATTTTTTTAAATATAAATATTAATTAACATGTACTTTTTTTAGTACAGCTTTAAAGTATCATTTATGGTATTAACTTTTAAATTTCATTCCTTATACATATAGATCTCATTTTTATGTGAAGTTAATTTAATTTTTTCCTTTTATTTACTTTTTGTTATTGTTTATTTTAAGAAGTTATTGTTATAAACATTGTTTCTAATAAATGAATTAAAGATTTAAAACTGGTACAATGTAAAATAATGCATTTTATTTGTATATTAATATATGAACGTTTAATTGATTCATTGGAGCAATCAAACGGGTGTCTTTTAATTGAGTTGCTGAATCAATTAACAGAATATCGGGTAAATGATTTTTCGGATAATTGTAGCAAAAACTGAAACATTTTTGAAAATCAATTAAGCGAAAACTACTGTATATGTATGTATTATTAAAATATTTGTTTAATGTTTTTGTATATGCTTTTGTTTTGTAATTGTAAGTGTGATATGAAAAAATAAAATACATATGATTTATCTAACAATTCTACAATATAAATGTCTAATTTACTAGCTTTTTGTCCGCTACATTGTTAGCATTTCTTCGGCCACTGTAGTAATTATTTGAAAATTCAGAATGTAGCTACAATATCTTTGCAATAAAGAAAATGTATCAACAAATAGGACTTTACCATTATTATATTCTCTCCCGTTTCAAGTTTATGTAGGTTAGAATACAACAGTTTACTCTTATAGACTCTCATCTAAGTTCAATATTTTAAAAACTTAACATTATTAAAAACTTTAAAGTGTCTTCCGTTTGTATGTGCCCTCACATATTATTGGCCTTTCCACCTTGGCGGTACCTCATGATGTAGTCACAGATATGGGCTATAGTGAGACTACTGTAATGACGGTCTATAGTGGCGTTCAAATAACGCAAGCATTCTAGGATTTGAAATATGGTGGACATGCTTTACGCGAAGAAATTAAGCGTCAGATATTGCTGGAGGGTATAAAGAATGTCGTATCAGTATTAGAGAATATTAAAGTTTGTGCTACTTTTGTTACGAAATTCAATAGAGCTCATGAGTAATGCCTATCTTAAGTTGTCTTCGAAATTCTATTCGAAGAAAGTCATGATCGTGATAGTTTACCACTTTTAGTAATAAAATCCATACTTCGTTGTCCTCCCGACGTACACCGTTGGTTAACTAAAAATACCTTTGTTGTGGTGGCAGTTTGATTATAGTTGGTTTATTGTCCATACAGTATTTAGCGGCTAACGGCAAGGAATATAAGGAAAAACTGCACGACTATTTAAGTTTCATAAAACTATTGGGCGTCCCAATATAATCTACTGGCTGTGTGGTTCTTTATGTGGCGGTAGTGATTTGGTTAATACTCGTTCTTTAACTAAAATGCGTATATAAGATTGGAACGTGTACCCAATATGAGTTGGTTGATATTTTTAATTGTATTTTTTCTTTTTTTACTTTTTTGTTTGTTTGTTTACACATAAACTGTCAAACAGATGTGGTGAATTTTTATAAGTATGTTGAATTCACAGCACTCGTATGTGTACAAAGCCTACTTTATATTTTCAAAAAAAAAAAAATAGTGACACTTTCCGCTCTATATACTCTACGTGGAAATTTTCTTTGCCTACAAGTTGGGACAACTTTTTAACCAATAGATTTGTGGTAGGTTCGCGCAAATAGAGGGGAAGTGGCTTGTGGACTTTTAAGGGTATGGATGGTACTTTCTCACTTTCTTGGCTGTCAAGGAGTGCAAAACGGACTTACGTTTTGTATGAAAAACGCGATATGAAATATTTTTTTTTTTTTAATTTGTCCTAAAAATTTGTTCACAAATATGCTGTTACAAAATTTAAGATTTTGCAAAATATAGGAAAAAGTTGGTTCTGTTCTCTCTTATTTTCAATTTACCACCTAATTGTCTTCAATAATGAGTAAAAACTTTATTTTAAATATTTACTAACTTAAAAAAAAAAAAAAAAAACAAATCTTTTTTTTTTTTTGGTTAAATATTACTGGATTTCAGAGCCCTCTAGTGGCCGCTTTTTTAAGAAGGAAATTTTGTAAGCTTTCAGAAAAATGTACAATTTTAAATTTTACTCTCGATTATATTTTTCTCTATAGAACGGATCACTGTGCATCCATTTGAAAAACCCCTATACATTGGATGAGAGCAATGTGTTAGCTACCGAATAAACCATGTTTCTCTAAATTCAGAAGATACAGATTTTTTAAATTTTGTCCACCTCGATTTTGATTTGAAACTCGGAGAGAGCTCTAAGCTACCTCAGCCTCTGACTCTGAATCCTCAGATGATAATAACAACACCATTATAGCAAATCCCAAAAAGAATGAAGTAGAGCAAATGGTGAAAATGGTGAGTGATAGCATAGCTAAACTACCTAATACTAAGACTTTGCGAAGTTCAGAGGAGGAAGTTGAAAAAGATACTTCAAAAAATCATAGTTAGTCAATCCCACGACACTTCGAAGGAAAAATCGGACTCTCTCACAAGATCTGATGCAAAGAGGATCAGTTCTCCCGAGGAGTTGACAACTGAGAATAAACCTAAGAAGAAAAAGTCCTCCCCGTCTTCTAATACACAGTCGAAGCCAAGCCATACTTCACTCAAAGGAACTTCAAGTCAGAATCCTGAGAGTAAGGGTGACAACGCCAAGATAGATATTCCGAAGACGACCACGTCGGCGAAATCAACCTCGAAGGTAAGGGTATCTCAAAAGAATCCCATAAAAACGAGGAAGGAGAAGCTAGACAGTAGAAAAGGAAAAGAGCCGCCATCTTACGCCAAAGTTGCCATAAGAAGACACTGGGACGATCTCTGCTATGCAGTTTACGATACCGGTAATCCGACAGGCAAAATTCCAATAGACCAACAGAGTAAAATTAGAAGACCTGGTCAACAATAAGATAGTGGACCACGTAATCGCTTCAAAGGACAAACAAACAATAGAGAGCGCACAGTGGGGCAGAATCGAAATTTTTTGGAAATAAATCTGGCATTTCTAAACGGCTGATCCGATCGGTATAAAATTTGGCGTGAGCGTAGCCAAGGAGTATTCGAGTTTAAGTTTTGAAGATGAACCCTGCAGATGCCCCAGGGACGGCGCTGTGGCGGCTCAAAGTAGGGTACCTACGACATGTAAAATTTTTAAACTCGTGCCATTTTTTTGTTTTTCAAAGATTTACAATTTTCTTTTATATTTTCTGAAAGCGCTCGACGAGATCTTGAAAAACCATGCTTGGACAAACTACTTATCTCTTATAATATCCGAGTTATAGGCATTTAAAAATTTAGTGATACAAAATTTACCATACCTTGGTCCGCCTTCTTTTGAATACCGGGCGTAATTTTGGACCAAATGAACTCAATTTTTTCTTGTTAGTTAGACAACAAAATTTCCAATAATATACAAAAAATTTCAGATCAATATCATTTACAGATCCAAAAATATACGTTTTTTAATTTAAAAATTCAAAAAATTTTAGATTTTTGCCGATTTTTTGCCAAAAATGTGTCTTAACTCTTTTATTAATAAAATAAAATTTTCTTTAAGAACATATAACAATTTTATAGTTTTCTAAAAGGTATCTTTACGCAGAACGCTTTGGCGTAAAAAACTTGTCCTATTTTTTGAAAATGTTGCCACTGCGTCCTTCCGAATATGACCTATTTTTTATCAAAACTTCAACTTTGGGCGACATGTTCTAAAATCCCAAAGCTGGGATCAGAAAACTGAAAGCAGTTTTGGAAACCTCAATATGTTTTCTATTTACTCCAAAAGTATTTTCCCAGCCCTGAAAGAAATGTGGACCCTATGGGCAAAAATGTAAAAAATCCCATTTTTGGGATTTTCATTCCTATTTTTGGGAATTGCGGGATGCCCTTTGACCTTTTTAATTTTTTTTTTGCATTTTCTTATTTGAAATTTAACAAGCGTTGAAAATTTCATTGAGTTTTGTTCATAAATAAAGATTTTGTCATATATTACATATTTGTTTAATTTCTAAAACTGATTTATATCAAAATTTTAATAGGGTCGCAGATAGCTACAACAATTTAGTCCATATTTATCCCTTAATATCTTTTTTAGTTAGATATGGAAATTCTCGATTCTTTACAAAAAGTTTCAAGCCAATATCTCAATTACATTCAAAAATATGTTCATTTAAACCTGTATCCTTTAATTTCATATTTTTAATATTTTAATATTAAATATGACAGAACATATTTAAATCTTATATTTACCTATTTTCTATTTGTTTGCTTATCCTTATAATTGAAAGGTCCTATTATGCTTAAATTTTCAGAAATTTATAACTATTTTTTACCTAAATTTTTTCGACAGATCATTTCGTTCTGTTTCGTTTATGATCATGTAGGTAAAAATATACAGGTAATGATAATTTCGATTCATTCACTAATAAGAAATATCAATGACTGAATTACAGGTTATAGTAATATAGTCCTAAATGTTAATAGGTAGACAATTCGTAATTTTTTACTTTGGAATATCTGTATCGGAAATGACAAGAATTGGTATATAAGTAAACTTCTCAGATTTTGAGTACCATATTTAATAAATCTACAATGAAGATTACATTAAAGTACGAAGAGTTGTGTTCCGTTTTATGGAGTGTATCTTCAAAAGGGCCAGAAAGAATTGGACATTTCAAATTATATAAAAACTACATATAGTAGAAAAGTAGACAAAACAGGCATATCAAAAATTGAAAACTTTTTGATGTAAAAAGTAAGTCTGTGGATGGAAATCAAAAGAAATCTCGATTAAAATTTTGTAGTTGGATGGAAACTACTACGGAAATCTCAACTTACAACACATCAACAGGAGCGCCTTGCAAGTCATACGAAGACTTATGTTCAAGGTAAAAAAAAGAGGGTCACACAAAAACTTTTTTCAATCTCAAATGAGGAAATTGCTGATATATTTAACGAAATGCTGAAAAATGAAAACCAACCTATGGATGCCGTACATATTGCAACTATTCTTCCTAATGCATCACCAAAACGACTTAAGCGAATTGTGGAAAGTATACCAACTCCAACATCACAATCAAATTTTACTGAAGAGGAAGCAATAGCGCTTATGTTGGAACTGGGTCTCAGTCGAAATAAGTACCAAATATTAAGGAAAGCTCTGCATGAAAAAGGACACAATATATTACCATCATACAAGGCGAT